TTGTACAGCATTTGGCTCTGTTCTTATTGAAGTCAGTTCTATTCAGTTATGCTGCTCTTTCAGTAAAAGCTATCCTCTGCAGAAAGCCGGAAACAACATCTCTTGAATACTGAAAGCATTAACAATTTACAACAACTCATGATGTAATTCGAAATGTAACTGTAAATGTAAAATGTTATTCCTGAAACTTTACTGAAATCGGGTTATGCTTATTTTTAAGCATAACCTAAAAAGACAAATGTCCCACTTTTGAAGAAGTGCTGTGATCCGAGTGTAATAGGCAAGAAAACCAGCATTATGCTATTAGGGTCTGTTGAATCCTGTTACTAGAAAAATGTCAGTCATAAGCCGTTTTAATGAATTCGGTCAACATGTAACAAGGTCTGACAGAATGTGTGAAGGATAACATACACTCTTTAAAGAAACATAAAAAAGAAACGGGGTCTGTTTAAGCTGAGACCTGGATATTAAAGATATTAAAACCTCTGATTGTCCTTAGGGCAAATGGAAATTTAGCTGACTTTCTCTCCCACAATCTATTTTAAGAAAACTTGGAGTAGAAACTACAATTAGCTTTTGTTGGGTAGATATTGCATAATAATGAGGCTGCAGAGTCTGTTAGACCCCAGTTGTACATCTGAGGGTTAAAAAGCAGGTTTGTTTGACTTTCCATTGCAAAGCGATTGTGCAATCCAAAGATTGTAGCTAGATTTGCAACAGAAAAATCTAGCGTTTTATGCTGGTGTATGTGTTTTATTTTATTTTCATCTGTGTGTGTGTGTGTGTGTGTGTATGTGTGAACTCTGAGACACAGACGAAACCTTCCACCCTGTGGTTGCGCTACACTGCTGCATCCTGCTTGCTGCTCTGCCAGATCTGCTGCCTGCATCCGCCCCTCAACACGTCTTCGCAGCTCTCACTTTGACCTCATTATCACCATCGTTACCATCGGTATTAGTAGCTGCACCCTTCATAATCATCATCACCGTCACCACTGACAGCTTTATTAGAATCATCATCACCGGCAGCAGGCATCGATAGGGCTATCCCCACCCATCGCCATCATTCTCAATATACTGTTATTATCATTGTCATCATTTTACTAATGCTCTGAAATGAAGACAGATGCTGGAATAAACATTCTTGCACCCTAGCTGTGTGTCATTGTCGAGCGTGCTGCATGGGCGTTCGTACAGAAACTGCCACTCCTCCTCCGGAGTCTTGTTCACCACTTGTGAGCTTCACAAACTGTTAAGTATGCTGCTAGACATGTGCTCCCATCCTGCATTGTGTTTCGCAGGCGGTTCAGAAACGCACCCCTTGTATGTGTTTCTCCTCTGAATATTTCAGAAGGGGGCTGACAAAATGCAGGCAGTAACAGACCGCTGATGACCTCCTTCTCATCGCCTCCTCTCTCTCTCTCTCTCTCTCTCTTTCTCTCTGTATCTCTCTCGCTCTGTTCCCCCCTCCCTGTGCTCATCGCACATTCTCCCAGGCTTCCCCGCTATGTCTCTCACAGTCTTCATCTTCTTCGTCTCATCACTCTCTTTTCTCCCTTCCCTCCCCCACTCTTTATCACACCCTCCCCTCCACATTTTTCTTCATAAGTGTGCTCCCCTCTTTCTCTGCCTTCCCCACCGGTTTCTTGCATCTTCTCCCATCCTGTCTGTCCTTTCATCCCACTGATATGCTCCTGTGTCTCATCACCTCTCTCTTACCCTTCCCATCCATTCATCCTCTCCTTCTCGTTTTTGTTGCTCTCTCCACGGCGTTGTGCTCCATCTGCATCTCTGCCTGCCTGTCTGTCCGTCTGTCTGTTCCATAAAGGGCTGTCTGAGGCCTCTGCTCTGCTAATTCATTCGCTGTGCATCGCCTCACATATCTGCAGGGTCGGGCAGACAGACAGCGAGAAAGAGAGAGAGGAAGAGAGGGGATCTAGAGGAAGAGAGAGAGAGGGACCAAGAAAAGAGGACATGGAGGGGAAAAAAAAGATGCAGTTTTATCTCCAAGAAACAGAAAGCCAGAGCCAGATCCTGTGGTAGTATATTCCACAATCACTCTCTCTCGTGCGTGCACACACAATATATACAGTAGCTCACCACGACCTCCTTCTGTACACTGCTTGCTTTGTCATTTGAATCCCTGATGTTCAGCTTTCACTCTAATCTAATACTTTAACCACATTGCTGCCATTGTCTCTGTTTATAAAGGAATGTACAGCGTATGTATAGTGTATTCATGTGTTGCGTCGTTGTGCCTCTGGTGAAATGTGCAGAGCAATGAGTGCAGGTATTGACAGCTGTTCCAAATTCCAAAATGTCTTGTGCTGATGAAGTCAGTAATTGTGAACATATTTGCACCTCAAACTGAACAAATTCTCTGTTCAAGTGACATTTTGGAGGCTCTACTTCAGGGGCCGGTTGCATCCGCTATTTGTAAGCTCAAATGTAGCCTACTTGTAGCATGGATGTTTACTGTGTATGTATACTGTATAATGGAGATGTACGCATCACTAAATAAAATCTGGTTGGACCACACACTTATGTAGAGATTAGTTGTTACCAGATATGTGGGGTTTAGTATCCAAGGACATATCCGGGGACCGAACCCCCAATTTCCAATTAGAGAATCACCATCTATACCTATAAACCACAGCCTATATGGACTATGGCCAAATATCTAGTCAAGACTGTTTACTAATGGTGTGATGTGATTTTAGATTGCATTTCACAAAACCAACACATATACCTCAGTTTACAAACCTTTATGCCAGTAGAGTTAGCCTAACTAACCAAATAGCATCACTATGCTATTCCCCTCTATTTCTAAACTACATGTGTACTATTACCTCATGTTTCTCCATGTATGCATACTGTATTTAAGTAGGACATTGTAATAAATTTAAAAATAGCTGCTGCAACACAATCCTGGACTCCTTCATTTATATCAACAATTTCTTTGTTTAAATCAGGGCTAACCAGAGGTGAACAAATTATTGAAATCCTTTACTTAAAACACACCAATACCACAATCTATGAATACTCCATTAAAAGTAAACATCCGGCAATCAATATTTTTTTATTTCACATTATTTGTAGTAAAATGCCTCTTGTGAAGAATGATTCCTTTCATTGATTCATTGTTGCAGCCTGTGAGAAGCAATGTTGTTAGTTTGTTTAAAGGAATAGCTCAACAGGAATTGTGCTTATTTGCTTTCTTTGTGAGAGTGACATGATAAGACTGTAGCTCATAATAAAAAAGCAAGATACATCATGTAAAAAAGACACTTAATATGTGTTGGTAGGTGGATGTCTTGGCTTTGGACAGAGCCAGTCTAACTATTTCCCACTTTCTACTTTATGCTAAGCTAGGCGAAAACTTCAGTCTAATTGGTTAGCGCTGTTGCTTCACAGCAAGAAGGTCGTGGGCGCTGTACAGTGGCTGCAGAGGATGAATTTCGCTACATGTATGTGTATGTGACAATAAAGTACATTTAGGTTTAAAAGCCTACACGTTGCTACTCGTTTTGACAAATAAACGCAGGTCTCAATTAAAAGCCTTGTCTGGTTTTTGGATGTATGAAACCTCTTAAAGACTACCAGGACACCTGCTTGAGCTAGTTCTAAGCTGCTTAGATTAGCTGCTTAGCATACACATCGTTAGATTGGTTAGAGTCTCTACAATTCAATTGTTCAGTTCATTTTACGGAAACAATAATCACTGAAGTCTTATTCTTTCAGATTTACCGGCATGGTAAAGGAATTAAAGGCCTGTCCCATATAGATGCCTGTCCCAAATATAGGCAGGGTGAGTTCAGTGATTTAAGCAAATAAAAGCCCGGGCTATCCATTTAAGGTTTATGTTAAACATATCTTGACTCCAAATGTATACTTTATGCACAGACATGAAGTTGGTATCCAGGCTTATTTCCCAAAACTATTCCTTTAAAACCGCTAACACTGCATAGTATCGTATTAATCAGAAATATTTTATTGATATTGAAAGTACAGTACAACTGCCATATAAATCCAGTAAGTAAAAATGATTTCTTTTTCTATCTGAAATATAGGGGAGTGAAAAGTATTCAGTCATGCAAAATGGAAATACTCAAAAACATCAACTATACTCCACAATTGTAGTTAAGTTAACAGTACTTAGTAGTTAACTCGGTAACAATGTTTTTTTTACCTACACAGTTTATATAGAACCCTACAATGTTTTTTCTTTTTCTGTGCTCTGAAATTGTTTTTAGAAGACTGTGCAAGAAATATACATATCTGTCTAAACTAACCCAATAGTGTAGCAACAGCATGCAAACCTCCTCAGATACAATTTTGTCTGACACGAACTAAATAGTGTGTGTGTGCGTGTATGTGTGTGTGGAGGTGAAAGCGCTACCTTGTATGTACAACATCATTACAATGTGTACCACTGTTTAAGCCACTGTTGATTAGCAAAACAAAAGCAAACGTCGTGCCAGAAAATGAAGTGTAGCAGCAGTTGATCTAGTCCTTCTGTCAGTGAGACACTGCTGTGGGTGGCGGCGGAGGCGGCGGGGGGGGGGGGGGGGGGGGGGGGGCTCTGGCTCTGTTGGTTTTTCCTGTTAAACTAACACAAGAATCTCTCTGGCTAGTCAGATGAATGTTAGGGCATCATTTGATCTTTTTTTAACAACAAAAAGAAAGAGTGTGATGAAACCTTTTTTGGTGTGCTCGTAGTGGCTGCCTTGTAAGGTGTTCTATTTTCTGTGCATTATTCTCCTTGTGAGTCAAAAATAGAAACTGATATGTCAGAAAGAGACAGTGACAAAAAGCCAGAGGCAAACCAAGCACACACACACACACACACACACACACACACACACACACACACACACACACACACACACACACTTAGCACCTTGCTCTCTGCAGCATTTCTTCACTTTTCTCTTATCTCCCATGTCACTCATATGTTGTATCTTTTTCTATTTCTTTCTTCCTCCGCCCGTATCTCTGCAGGTTTTCCTGTGCAGAGTTTGAGCTCGAGTAGAAGTGAGTGAGTAAGTGAGAGGGAGTGGGTGTCATGGATTACAGGGAAGATGTCGACTCCAACTACAAAAACTTGCTGCTCTTGGGAGCCATCGCAGCAGCATCCGCCTTTGTGGTCACCATCCTTATTGTCCTTGTCTGCGTTGGCTGCCAAAGGTAAGGGGACGGGGTCACGCGACTTGAAATGTGAAGGGGGAAAAAAAGTATGGGGCAGACTGAAATAAGAAAAGAGAACAGCCAGAGTTTTGTCATCTTTGCTGCCAGCTTTCCGTGCCGTCCCAGATCACTCTCATCATCTTACTCCCTTTTTTGATGTGTCTCTACTTCTTCTGAACTCTTCTCCTCCCTCCTTTCTCTTCCCTCTTTCTGTCTTCTTGGGCTCTTTTATCCCTGCTCTGACCAGAGTGGCAGTAATGAATGTTAATGGCTGTGAGTGTCAGATCAGATGAAATGATGCTTACAGGACACTGTGGAGACAGGCCAGAGTCAGTGTGGTAGCCTCACGCTACCCCCTCTTAAGCTGAAACCTCAGCAGGCAAAAGCAATGGAACACCCCGCGGTTTAAAGAGGATCAGACTCTGAGCCAGGCAAGAGCAATGGAACGGCCTACGTTTTTTCTCTCTCTGTCTCTGTCTCTGTCTCTCTCTCTCTCTCTCTCTCTCTCTTTTGAGAACCCTCAGGGACCAATCAGAGGATGCACTGTGGCTTTGTTGCCATGGGATACACAGATAAGGATGTAGAGAAATGTCAAACCGGCTCATGTCATGGAAATAAAACCACATTATTGTTAAGATCTAAAGAATGAAATATACGATCCCCACTGAATGTCAGTGATGTTATGGGGCCGAGCGTATAGCAGTTCACCACTTTGTCATGTACAAATATTATAGATCTTGGACAGAGAGGCCTACTACTATTGATTTTGTACTGTTTATTTAAAAATTCCCCTCACTGGTTCTTTTAGATTCAAAGGATTCCAGTGAACATCTTGTAAAACTTGCAAAATAATTGATGCCCTTCTTTATATGTCTTCATGCCTTCATGTCATTTTTACCGTAAACCCCCTCCTGTGCCATGTTATTATCAACCTCTCCAAGGGGAGCTCTCTTCACATTCTCATGGTGCCCTTGGGGTATCAAGGCCATATGTTTGTATGAATAGGATTGAGTTTCAGCTCACTGGAGGAGACAATAGGTAGCTCTAGTGCCATGGATCTGACACAGCTGACTGTTGTGTTCAGTTATATTTCAAGCAACTTGTATAACTATGTGGTATTTGTATGATTCCCGAACCTGTTTGCAAACCAGAAATTACATCTTTATCGCGACATTGTGTTTTGCAGTGTAGCGATGAGATCTCACATTATATGAGATGCAGCTCCTCAACCCCCAAAGTGAGAGAAAAGGGAGGGGGTGTAGAATAGTTTTCACATTCACTCCAGCACCCAGGAGCGTTTGTCTTCTGACACTCTCTCACCATATCAACAGTTTCCTACAGCTACCTCCAGGGATGCACAATGATGCGTAACACTGCACTAGATACAGTTGTTGCACAAGACTAAAACCAGAGGATAGTAAAGCCAAATGGCAAAAGGAGTTAGCACGGAGGAAACTACAAAATAATAATTGTGAGTTTGCTTGGCCTTATTGTGAAAAGACCTAAAAAAAAAAAGAAACACAAAAGTTTCTCAGTGAAGGACATCCTCCGCTTTTGCAAAAACCTGAGTCATGCTGCACTCACTGTTTGACTCGACTCTTGTTATCAACCAAGGACTTTTATGCCCTGACCATAGTCAGATGTTGATAGCATCTATCTGCTCTGAGTGTGTGTATGTTCTCTCTTTGTCCACCGGCTCCCGTTGACCTTCCTCACTTTGATGTTGTGTCAGAAAAAGCAAGAGCAAGCACCCCCCAGCCGGAGAGAAAGGGACATCTGTAAATATGGTGAGACATGCTTTCATTTTACCCCCACACCCCCCACCCCCACAGTCTCCATCTCCTTCTGCCCTTTCCCATGTCTCCTCTCTCCCCTGAATAGCTGGCTTGTATACACATATACATACATGTGTTTGCGTGCATTAACCTCCATATGTGTGTGACAGCAGGGTTCCCTCCGACACCCAAAACTGAACTCCATGAGCAAATCTGACACCAGGCTGCATGAGATCAATCGCTTTCCCTGCAATGGAAACTGTAAGTGATGAGTGAAGGTGTGTATGTGACAATATATGATATACAACCCTGAGCTGTTGCACAATTTCAGTCGTCTCCTCCTCCTCCTCTTCTCTGTGCAGCTGTTAGTAAGAGCCGTCCGGCCAGTATGGACCTCCTGCTCCTCCACAGTCGGCGCTCCCAGACAGACCTGAGGCCCTCCCATGGGCGCCAGCTTCCCCAGATCCCCACCAGTCCCCAGGGATCTGGCCAGGGAGGAGGAGGGGAAACAGGAGGAGATGGGGGAGGAGGAGGAGGAGGAGGAGGAGGAGGAGGAGGGGAGGCTAGAGACCACACCTACACTGAGGTGGGCATACGGAACAACCCCACCCCAACCCACTGCCTAGATGATGGACTGTATGAAAGTGTAGGTGTCCGGGAAGGTGACACGAGCCCGAAGGTACAGTCGGCTCCACCAACCACATCAGCCAACACTCCGGCTACAGTCAGAACTGCCCAAAGCCCCCCAGCTCAGGCCAACGGAGCTCGCAGTGGGAACGGGAACGTACGTACATACACAAAACTGTAAACTTATATTTTAATTTCAATGTGAAGCGCCCCATGGGACTGGCTCCACTCACGGAGCCAGTGGCTCACTGTGCTGCCTGCGGAAAAGGAAAGTCATAGCAGCTGCATTTTAGACCTGCAGATGTAGACGTGTTGATGTCAGGCAAAAAGGTTTAACATTTACCTGCAGGCAATTAGTGTAACAGCTATAACAGTTATTTCTTTGCCTGCAGATGGCATTCATCATCAGCTTGTGTATGTAGGTCTGAAGTGCTGGAGCTGCTGCTGCTGTGAAGTTGGATGACAGTGGCCTGGCCTTGTTTGGGGTGCTTTGCAGATTTGTTTTCAGATATGTGGCAAATCATTTGACATCTGTGGTAATACAAAAAATATGTGTGTTTCTTTGTATTTCCTCACAGGGTGGCAGAGGGAATGGCAGAGGGAATGGCAGAGGGAATGGCACCATTAACGGGCCGATAACAGCTAGAGGTAATGGTACGAGTGGGGTCAACAGGTCGCCTCTGTCTTCGGTCAACTCCCTGGCCATCCAAGATCCAACTGGAGCTGAGTACGCTTCCATACGGAAGTTCAGAAAGGTAACAATTTACATAGATTTTTCAGATGGTGGCTGAAGTAATGCTGTTTTTGTTGATTCAGGTAAATGATTAGTTTGGTTTCATGGAAATATATTTTATCTTACTAAGCCAGACTTGGCTCAACTCATTCCTTAACAATTTCCAACAAGAAGTCCAATGTGTGTGAATAGAAAAATAGAGATGTTGTTGTACTCTGTAGGTAGGCTGTCACACAACATTGTCAAACAAAGAATGGCAGACATCACCTGATGTTTTGTCTGTTGATGGAATATTTAGCTATGTGTGCTGGGGTGAACGGTGATGTTTATCCCTCATGGCATCTGTGATGATATCTATGGCTACTAAAGTAGGTGTTTGTGTAATGTTAATCAGTCTGAAGAATATATGGTAAGATATGGTCAGCTGTGCTTAAAAAGTATTGCCACATCATATTTAAGTGGTAGAGGGTGGTTGGTAGCTAGAGGCCTCACAAGGAAATAACTATCAACAAAGAAAACAGCTAGTGTAATTAACATTTTATTTAAAAGGGGCTTGTCTGGCTCTGAAATTAAGAAGTAGTGTAAAATTCACCAAAACTACACAATAACATACAATGCTTCATATTTGCTTTTGTGAACTAATTGGAAAAATAAGTAAGAAAGTAACCAGATAAGTCAACTTTATTTGTATAGTGCTTTTCAGAGACAGGAGTGCTTCACAAAAACAATAACATATAAGAAATCACAGAAGCCACCCGAGCCACATGAAGAAAAAGTGCAAATAAAAGTACAGAATAAATACATAAGATGCAGGCCTGGTGCGTACAGGTTACCCAGATGACTGTCTAAACAGGCATGTCTTTAGCTGCCTTTTCAAAGAAACCTCAGAATCAGCAGACCATAAGGGTGCTGGCAGAGCAGTCCATAGATTAGGTGCTACAGCCTCAAAAGCTTTATCACTACCGGTTTTGGGACAGAAAGCAAATTTTGCTTATTTGACCTAAGAAAAGGAGTTGATGAGTGAGGCGTAGTAGTTCAGCCACATATATGGGAGCCTGACCGTGCAATGCTCTGTAAGTAATAGTGAGAATATCAAACTGGGAGCCAGTGAAGAATCTTTAAAGAGGTAATAGACCGCCTATTTAACCCAGTGAGTTATTGTGTGTGCAATATTCTGGATTGGCTGCAGACAATCAAGGGCTAAGTGATGAGAACAGTGCGTTCCAGAAGTCGATGCGAGATGAGATAAAGGCGTGTACAAGCATTTCTAATTCAGCAGATGAAATGACAGAACCCAGTTTACTAATATTTCTTATTTGGAAGAAACAAGATCTGTTCATCTGCTTCACATGGGTGCCGAATGATGAGGACTGATCAAATATTACCCTTAAATAACACAGGTTGGAGTGGACAGCAGAGGAATAAAGCCTCTTAAACTTGATTATGTGGACTTTTTGCTGGTGGTTTTAACATTAGGTTGACAAGACAAACAGGAAGGAGAATAACGGAGGCGACAGCCAGTCAGACAGCCAATCGAGTGTGAGTGATTCACCCTCTGCGGCTCCTCCTCCACTACATCGCAGTCAGGAGTTTCTGCGCAAACCACTGGAGCCGTTTCACCTGCACTCCTTCCCAAAGGTAAAAGGAATCATTGGATCAATATTGTCTGCATCAACCTAACCAGCTGCCTTGCCAAACTGTAAGTCTGTCTGTTTCCCACCAGAGGGCACCCTCCACAAACAAACAGCTCTATATATTTAGACACGAGGATTGATATTAGTTTAGTCACTTGATGTCTTTTTATTATATTATAAAATAATATAATATTTTAATCACATTATAGAGTTGCATGTGCTAGCTGGGATGTATATATAAACAGACAAGGCCACAGTGCAATTCTGAG